GTTCAACATCTTGGAGACATGGACAGTGGCATTGAGGGCACCCTCAGCAAGTGCCCTGATGACACCAAGCTGTGTGGCAGGGTCGACAGGCTGGAGGGGAGGGATGTCATTCAGGGGGACCTGGACGGTTTGAGAGCCTCATGAAGTTCAACCAGGCCAAGTGAGAGGTCCTGCATGTGGATTGGGGCAATCCCAAACCACATACAGATTGGACAGAGAACAGATGGAGAGCAGCCCTGAGGAGAAGGACTTGAGGGTGTTGGTCAATGAGAAGCTCCACACGCCCCTGCAATGTGTGCTGGCAGCCCAGAAAGCCAATAGCGTGGCCATCAGGGTGAGGGGGTGGATTCTGCCCCTCTGCTCTGCTCTGGGGAGACCCCTCCCGGTGCTGCCTCCAGCTCTGGGGCCACCACCAGCAGAAGGACATGGACCTTCTGGAGTGGGGCCAGAGGAGGACATGGAGATGCTGGGAGGGCTAGAGCTCCTCTGCTGGGAGGGGGGGCTGAGACAGTTGGGGGGGTTCAGCCTGGAGAAGAGAAGGCTCCAGAGAGACCTCAGAGCCCCTTCCAGTCCCTCAAGGGGCTCCAGGAGAGATGGGGAGGGACTCTGGGTCAGGGAGGGGAGCCCTAGGAGGAGGGGGAAGGGTTTGACCCTGAAAGAGGGGAGATGGAGCTGAGCTGTGGGGAAGAACTTGTTTGATGTGAGGGTGGTGAGAGCCTGGCCCAGGTTGGCCAGAGAAGCTGTGGCTGCCCCATCTCTGGAGGGGTTCAAGGGCAGGTTGGAGGGGGCTTGGAGCAACCTGGGCTGGTGGGAGGTGTCCATCAAGTTCCATCTAAACATGAGGAGGAACTTCTTTCCTGTGAGGGTCTCAGAGCACTGGAACAGGCTGCACAGAGAGGTGGTGGAGTCTCAATCTCTGGACACATTCAAAACCCACCTGGACACATTCCTGTGCATCTGCTCTAGGTGCTTTGAAAGGGAGGTTGGACTAGATGATGTCCAGATGTACCTTTCAACTCCATATCATTCTGTGATTCTGTGATTCTCTGATTCTGCTTCCTTGCCCAGGGCAGGGGGTTGGAACTAGATGATATTTAAGGTCCTTTCCAAACCAAACCATTCTATGATTCCATGATAATTGGGATTTATGTAAGATCATAAAGGTAAGTTCAAGAACAAATCAAGAAATAGTCAAAGCTTATCAAAATGTGTCAACACTATGCATTGCATTATTATTTCAACACAGTTGAAGATTGTAGATCTATCACCTTGTAGATCTATCCAAGTAAGCTCAAGAAACAATTTTATCTCAAACTGAATGTTTCTTTCACTCACTCATACAAAGTCTTCAGTGGTGAAGTCAAAATAGCCAGCACAGACAGCAGACTATTGCAGTGTCTATGGATTTTATAGATCTTGAGATCTCTGTCTTCATGTGGATTCAGAAACTCCCGTACAGAGCCACAAACTGACCACAGCATATCTTCAGTGGACATCAAAATTGCTGCAATGTCAATCCTGTAGGGGAAAAAAAGTGACAATAGCATGACTTAGGACATCAAGATAGTGGTAAATTTCAGTTAAATAGAGCCTTTCTCTGGCAAGACAACATACCTAAACCATAGCATGGACTTCAAATTTCATATTCCATCAGTTGTGTAGGAATTCTGAATCTAATACACTGTAAAAAATTCAGTGCTTCCACAGAAAAGTTGTTACTGAAACTAGTCAAAAGAAGACAAACAATATGGAAATTGCCGCTAGATAAGAACAACTTACCTTCTGAACTACATCTAAATGAAATTATATTTAGTTTCCTTTATGATAAGGTATATATAGAATGTACATATTTTCAAATCCTGCTGGAGAAAAAGTAATGACAAATGATCTAAATCTTCAGTTGGCATAACTTCAACTGAATCAGGATCTGTTGCCTGTTGATACTAGCTGGCAGAGCATCATGGGTCATTGGCTTAAACAATAGCAAGAGCCCAAACTACAACAGCAAAATCTCACAAGACTGCACTGACATAGAACAGACAGTTAACACAAAACATATGGCAGGAATGAAATAGTACCTAAGTACCTAAAAGCCAATGTGATCACCTGCAACATTAAGGACCATCTTATTTATGGAAAATCTAGGCAAATAGACACAAACAGACATTTGTCTGTATTACAGATCAGATCTCCAACATTTCGAGAACCTTTGGGAGAAAAGAAACACACCCCACACACATCCCAGAGCAGAGTATTATAAAAAAAAGTTGTAAAATCTCTGTGATGAAAATATACTGAATTATATTTATCCATTTTTTCCATTTGTGCATGACTGGATAATTCAATTCACTCAGCCACAAATTCAAGAATCACCTTATTAAATAAAACAGCCTCTCTACAAAATGACAATGTAGAAAGCTCCTTCTTGTTCAGTCTTTTGAAGCAAATTCACATAGAATTGATTAATACTACATTGAAGAAATACTGTATCAATACACATTCTTCACATTTCAGGGTATTACTTTTTTTTTCCCGGAAATTTTCCAGGATAACTCTCCTTACTTAAAGATATAGAAGGGCCTAATCATGGTAAATTAGTGCAAGAATAGAGCACACAAGCAGGTATTTTGATACATAAAATAAAACTTCTGGGTTTTTCCTTCCCTATTCCAAGGATGTGAAGTTGTGCAAGGTATTTAAGCTTCCATGATGCTCCCCCTGTTCCTAATAAACCTTATCATGACTGCACTTAACTCTTTGGTCACACAGAATGTATCTCTGCTGACTGTGCCTCATCTGCAAATGACAAGCTCTCAAGTTTTTAGCTTGCATGGCCACCACAGACTTTCAAAATATAAAAAGAGGAACATATTCATATGGGAAAGATGTATAGCAAAGGGGCAGGATGAGAAACACACCAATTTCTTCAGTCAAACAAGACATTGGACAGAAGAAGGACAGAGGCAGGGTCAGATTCCACCTGGAGACACCTGCTTCAGCATTTCTTAACGAGACCCGCCTCTCTGGGAACACATGAATGCCAACAAGAACTTCCAGCCTTGTATTTCTTAAAATGACAGGAAAAGGAATAGCCTCTTCCTCCTCTCTCCTTCTGCACCACTGGCTTCATTCTGGCAAATCTTCTGATGTCACCTCTTTTCACTTGAAAAGCTGTATGAAAACCCAAATTCTACTGGAACACATTGAGTTTTCTTCATGAATCAATGGCTTGATTTCAAATCCTGAAGTTGCCAATTCTGCCCCCATTTTTAGCTGTGCCACCATCCCTCAATGCACTGTTCATCGTGAGGCTTTCATTCATGTAACAATTTCACCAAGAGTTCAAACGAGGTCTTTGACTCTGCAGAGTTTAGTATATGACTGCCAAATATTCTTAAATAACAAAATATAATGAATTAAAACAAGCAACAAATTACATTAATTGTATCTATCCCCTCTAGTGTGTTCATTAGTGTTTAAATTTGAATCAAAGCAGTGTTGTGCGTAACAAAAAAGTATGATTTACTTATTTTATTCATTAAAAGTGTACATTAAATATATAACCATTACCTGATTTGCGGTGTTCTCTTGTAGCTGGGGCAGGCCTGACAGTATCTGGAGGACAGTATAGCCAAAGATTGCTCCAGTACGTCTGTAAGTATCTCCTGGGCTGTCTTGGGAGGTAGAATAGTCCACAGATCATGATGAAGAGCACAGCAGAAGTAGTGCCACATCTGGACAGAGAATGAGCATCTTTCCCCCTATCAAAACCACCACACATTAAATAAATAACAAAAACACACCTTCCAAAATGTCAATTTAGTTCCTGTAAGTCTAATTAATTCAATCTGAAAGGAAATAGCTCAAGAGTTTCAGGCACATGATGACCAAAAAATGGTCCTTGACAACATGCGAAACATCTTTATTAGAAAGGAAACACATGTTTCAGTTACGAAACTAGAGTTCTGCCAGAAAGCCAAACCACAGCATTTAACCTCTTATATCCTTAATTAACCTGTTCTCAAAGCCCATAGTGTTATGTCTAGCTTATAAACATATACTGAATTCCATGCTTACTAGAATAGCCAGATGAATTTAATATAACACTTTGTTTGTCCTCAAAAGAAAATTATTTTTTTTTCATCTTATAATGGTAACTCACCAAAACAAAACATTTTCTGGGAAGGAATCAGCTTTAGTATTAATATTTCTTGTCTATACAGAACTACCCCAAAAAGACAGAGAGATAAATACAGAGGAGTCAAAATCACAATGGTTAAATCAGTAATATCTCTAGGAAGTACTTAGTTCAACTCACATTTAAATATTTGAACTAACACCTGTTCAGGAAATAGCATTATGAGGAATTTGCATCAAAACAAGGACTTAAATCTTCACTTCCCACATTCCAATGGAGTTGAGAAACATTTTAAGAATTTGTTGATATTTTAGCTTTATCAGATATATGAAACAACCCCATGAGTTTTAAAACACTGTAAGAGTTCGATAGGCATTCTCTAATAATAATAAACCAAAATAATCTGGCTTCTTTTTAAACACATCACATTAGCAGATTGTTGGAAATAGTCACTATTCAGTATTTCTCAGCCATAATATTTGAAGTGTGTTTTATATTAAAAAGTGATAAATTGTGAGAGAGAACAAAAGCACAAAACTTTTGACCACTGTTCTAGTTATTAAATTTATGACTGGCACAGGCATCTTTGAAATCCCATTTAAAAAAAAAAAAAAGAGAACCAAGTCATTAAGAGGTCCAATTTTCCAAGTTTCTCTAATAGAGAAAAATGTAATACAGATAAGTTTCAAAAGAAAATTATATGCCTTATTTTCTTAGTACATACAACCACAGACATAACTGTTTTAAGGATATTACAACAGGCAAAATAAAAAAAATCACTATGGTATTTTGAACAATCAAGCATTTGGTGTTTGCTCACAAGTAAAAAAGGATTGTCTTGTATTGACCATAAATTGACATAATAAAGTAATGGCCATATTAAAATAATTTCTTGTTTTTCTTATATGAAATATAATTACAATATTATTGCCTGACATACTGAAACGTCATCATAAGAAACAACCCCATGAGTTTTAAAACACTGTAAGAGTTCGATAGGCATTCTCTAATAATAATAAACCAAAATAATCTGGCTTCTTTTTAAACACATCACATTAGCAGATTGTTGGAAATAGTCACTATTCAGTATTTCTCAGCCATAATATTTGAAGTGTGTTTTATATTAAAAAGTGATAAATTGTGAGAGAGAACAAAAGCACAAAACTTTTGACCACTGTTCTAGTTATTAAATTTATGACTGGCACAGGCATCTCTGAAATCCCATTTAAAAAAAAAAAAAAGAGAACCAAGTCATTAAGAGGTCCAATTTTCCAAGTTTCTCTAATAGAGAAAAATGTAATACAGATAAGTTTCAAAAGAAAATTATATGCCTTATTTTCTTAGTACATACAACCACAGACATAACTGTTTTAAGGATATTACAACAGGCAAAATGAAAAAAAATCACTGTGGTATTTTGAACAATCAAGCATTTGGTAAGTGTTTGCTCACAAGTGAAAAAGGATTGTCTTGTATTGACCATAATAAAGTAATGGCCATATTAAAATAATTTCTTGTTTTTCTTATATGAAATATAATTACAATATTATTGCCTGACATACTGAAACGTCATCATAAGAAAGTACAAGTTTACTTAATAGCTCAACTCCTAACATAACTTCATCACTTTGCATAACTCAAATGTGACTACATTTATATAAGTCTGGGTTTCTTAGCTATATTATCATGACTGCTCTTGAGGTAAATTCCAGCAGAACTCACATAGACATTTTACTAACATTTCCCTTTCTTTGCAAAAACATTCCAATAATTAGTTTGAACGCCCAATGGAAACTAGTTTATTTTAGACATATCCTTAGTTTACAAAGATAAACTAAAAAAAATTCAAAAACCATGCATACTTAACAAGCAGAAATGATAATTCTGAATTCACTTTCTAATGCAGAGCATTTATTTTTTTAAGTAACTGAATGTTGGCAAGTTTTACTTTTTGACTATGTAACTATAAACACAAATTGTTTCATTTTTTCTGCTTTATTTAATTTAAAGCAGTAAACTGAATAATATCCCTTTTATAACATTGTACCTCCACCGCAGAAGGAACAGCTTCACTGAAGATTTAAATGAGATTCACTCCCCTTTTCTGACCTGTTTTTCTACTTGTTGCCATTCCTAGACAATTCTACTGGTAAACATCTGCTATTTTTGCAGGCTTCGTGTAATACAAACAGATGTGGGCTTTTATTTAGCTTATATATCAGGAAACAAGCAGCTGCGCTTTATTACATAAGCCACTCAATATTATCTTTGAACAGACAATTCTTTATTCTCCGACTATTAGAAAACATAAGTTCCCAAAGCTGCAGCAGATGGTCCGCTGCGCTGAAAGCTCCGCTGGAAATGGTGATCTGGAGAGCTGGCCCGTGGCACGGCGGGTGTTTGGGGAGAGACCCCAGATCCAGAGAGTTTCAATCCCTGGAGGCTGAGACTCCGAGTGCTCCTGGAGCTCAGCTCAGACCTCACGGTATCATCTCAGGAAAGTCATTCTTCCTCAGATCTAATCTAAACCTGCCCTGCCCCAACTTCAGACCATTTCCTCTGCTCCTGTCATGATTCCCTTGGGAGAAGAGGCCAACCCCCACCTCTCTACACCCTCCTTTCAGGGAGCTGTAGAGGGCAATGAGGTCTCCCCTCAGCCTCCTCTTCTCCAACTAAACATGCCCAGTTCCCTCAGCCTCTCCTCATAGGACTCACTATTCACTACTTCCACCTTGCAAAATCTCTGCTTAACTTTCCTCAGATACCCAAAACCTCCTGTGATCTCACAGCGATTATAATCATTCTTTTTGTCCTCTAATCTCGATGGTCCGCTGCGCTGAAAGCTCCGCTGGAAATGGTGATCTGGAGAGCTGGCCCGTGGCACGGCGGGTGTTTGGGGAGAGACCCCAGATCCAGAGAGTTTCAATCCCTGGAGGCTGAGACTCCGAGTGCTCCTGGAGCTCAGCTCAGACCTCATGGTATCGCCAATTCACCACTTGCACCTCGCAAAATCTCTGCTTAACTTTCCCCAGATACCCAAAACTTTCTGTGATCTCACAGAATTATAATCATTCTGTTTATGATGATTGTAATCATTCTGTTTGTCCTATAATCTTCTGGCTTTTCTTTTAATTCCAGTACCACTATTGGATTAGATATATTATGTTTGTATGGGTATCCATACCACTATGGAATAGGTATAAACATATATAGATATATATATAGGTTACAGGGAGGATGGGTGAGCAGGTACTGAAATTGGTTATGAAAGTCCAAAAAGTACTTTAAACCACATTATTCTTATTTTAACAATGTAGAAAAATTATTTTAAAGAATGTAATAAGCATTTGCTACCGATCTTGTCCTCCTCAGATGTTACCATTGTACAAACAAATAAATAAATGGATATGGAAACTGCAGCCCTGTGCAGACAAACACAGACTCTGTCCCCTGCCCCTTCCTCCTTCCCTTTGTATTTCAGCGGTTTTGTCTTCTTTCCTGATGACTTACACATCAGGAAGTCAATTAGTCTTATCAGTCAGTATGTCATTAGCGGGGAATGGAAAGGAAGGCTATCACAGTCTTCCTAATACCACGAGTATGTCCTGTATTATTGGGAAAAGAGAGTAACTCCAAGTGTAGGATTGCCAGTTAGTTTCTAATTAAGCATGAAACACAAGAATGAGGAAAGAGGGGTTTCTTCTTCCTCCTTCTCCCCTATTAATGCACACAAAACGAAAGGATGGGCAACGTTTTGCTAATGTTGTGGGAGCACAAGGGAAAGTGTTCTTTCCCTTTATGAAATGGCATTCAGGATTTACAGATGAGGACTGAATCTTTTATAGTTACATCTAATACTCAAAGGAGAGAGGGTTGTGAGGGTCCTGACCTAAATCAGATTCAGGTTGAGGCTACTCCAGAGAAAAGCAGAAGCAGAGGGCCAAGTGCAGCTCCATAGAATGACAGAATGGTTAGGGTTGGAAGGGACCTCCAAGATCATGGAGTTCCAACCCCCCTGCCATGGGCAGGGACACCTCCCACTAGAGCAGGTTGCTCAAGGCCCCATCCAGCCTGGCCTTGAACACTTCCAGGAATGGGGCAAGGATGGGCAGGGATGGGTTAGCTTCCAAGGATGGGGCAGGGATGGGCAGGGATGGGTTAGCTTCCCCTTAGAAGGAAGATCATGATGCTGTTTACAGCAGAGGACCCCACCGAGGATGCGGGAAGGGCTGTGAGCCGCTGACTCATGAGTGCAAGAGTGTGCTCCCATCGAGAGAAGAGAAACTCACTACTCTTGATGACTGGCAAGGTCTTCTGGCACCTGACTCCAAGCTACTCTTGTTTTCCAAGCTCATTACGACCCGTGTGTCTTAAGAGGCAGAGTCTCACATTTACTGGTGAGCTTAGAAGGAGCCACCTCTCACTGCTAGATGCTTCAGCAGGACGTTGCCTCTGCAACAAGCAATAGGTCTTGAGCCAATCCACAGTAAAGGAGAAAGTTCTTTACTGTGACGGTGGTGGAGCACTGGAACAGGTTGCCCAGGGAGGTGGTTGAGGCCCCATCCCTGGAGATATTCAAGGTGAGGCTCGATGAGGCCCTGGGCAACCTGGTCTAGTTGGGGGTGTCCCTGCTGACTGCGGGGGGGTGGGACTAGATGACCTTTGGAGGTCCCTTCTGGCCTAGATAATTCTATGATTCTATGATTCTTCCATTTGGTGTGCCTACAAGAGCTCAATGGAAGTAGCATTCAGCATTGTGATTCCTGAAGGCACTCTGAGCAGATCACGGTCCTTCCCTGGGCCGTGGCCCATGGCCCAGCAAAAAGAGCAGATTGATGATGTAAGATTGCACTCTTCCCACCTCAAGTCCTGCGTGTGTATAGAGCTGAGATATACCAGCTTTCTTCATCCTGTCCTACACACATCAGTTCTGGTCAGTAACGATAAAATTGTTTATCTAATCCCTAGTTTCTTTTTGAGACAGTTAATTCTGAGAGATAGTGAATAGTTACCAGGTCGGTCTCTTCTCCCAAGGAGTAGGTGACAGGAAAAGAGAAAATGGCCTCAAGTTGTGCCAGGGGAGGTTTAGGATGGATATTAGGAAAAATATCTTCACACAAAGGGTTGTGAAGCCTTGTCAGAGGCTGCCCAGGGCAGTGGTGGAGTTGCCATCCCTGGAGGGATTTAAAAACCGGGCACACGTGGTGCTGTGGGACACGGGCCAATGGTGGGTTTTGTCAGTGTTAGGTTGATGGTTGGAGTTAATGATCCAAAACCTTCCAACCTTGGCAGTTCTATGATTCTATGATAAACAGGACACACCACCATTTGGACTACAGAGTGTGAAGATCGTACCATGATTTATCAGTTGCCAAAAGCCACTAACTTTCTTACCCTCTTATCAGCCCAGGACATCTGGGATCACATTCAAACCAAAGTAAAATGCTTATTTACTTGTCCTTGAGGGATGGGCATTTTGCTAGATAACTCATGTTAATATAAATCTGCACCGCCTGGCCAGCACAGGTTTTTGTCACTGACTCAGCAGCTTTTCCTGTAGAATACACCCTTTCACACAGAGTTTTCTCTTGTATAAGAATTCTAGAAAAGCTTAACAAAAGCACCCTAATTCTCTTGCACAGCAAATAATATAGGGAAGGGCAGGACTTTGCCTCCAGGTAATCTCAGTTATCATTGATAAAAAACATATAATACTTTCACTTCATCTTGAAATTAAGAGAAAATAATTTCAAACACTATACATCCATCTATGTCTGCCTTTAACTGGGCTGAATCAAAAAACCCCAATAACTTATCTTCATTCACTCGATCCTTAGGTTTTTTAACAGAATCATTAAGATTATAGTTTATGAGAAGACCTGTGTCTTCAAAACACGGGTGAAATGGCACTAGTTGTTTCAGAAATATATTGTTGAATGGTGAAGGTAACTACATTGACTATCTCTCTTTGTTACATCCTTCACTCACAAAAGGTAAAAAGTGGAACCAACTGAAAACAAAAATCAGACAGTCAGACTAAAAATTTCCAGGAGAAAAACAGCTGTCTTTCATTTTCATATGTGACACTTTCTACAAGAAGAAGAGTTAAAATGATGGTGTTTTCTTTACTGAGTTCTGTATAAATGTCTTGACACACAGTATTTTATTAAGCAAACGACACAAACACTCCGTGGTAATGATTTATCTCATCTTTAAATGACTCTGCTTTCCTACATCATCCCCACAGAGACATTTTCCCTGCAATAATAAATATCTCAAAATAGTAAATTCCAATAATCTTTATGTAAAAATAATGCTGGTCTTATGCTTCTAATTATTCAGAGACATGGCAACCAGTAAAACACGTTTTCTAAAAGGGAGGCACAGTAAACTTAACCTCACACCTCATAAAAAGCTTTGTAGTCGTCCCAGTGGTGGCTCTCGGCATCCTGTAAAATGCTTGTAGCACAAACTCTGACGCAGTAGCTCGTAACTTGAAACTGGAGAACACTGATGAATTCCTGATACTGTTGGACAGGCAGGAGGAACAGGGGTCTGTTCAGAGAGAATGATCAAAGAGGGGAAGATTGAAAGGCTGTGCGGTAGGAGGTAATGATCCCCAGCACTGCAAATGGTTCTGATTATTAGGTATCAATCATTCATTTCCTCCCGGTCCTGGAGTCTGAACCAAGCATTCTCTGCTGAAAAAAATATCTGGTCTTTGTTTCACAAGTTCTTTAAATATATCTGCTCATCTATAAATCCTCATTTAACCAAGTCACCGAGAAATATATTACTTCATCCTGTTTTCTGAGATAAAAGTACATTTGTCATTCAGTTATTGGGAGGTTCTGGCTTGAGGCATAATAGCATCACCGCTGGGCGTGATAAAGAAAACATAAACACAGAGCCCAGAGATTGTTTTTGTTAGGTATGTACTAAAACTCTTTCATAATACACAGAAGTAGAATTATTGAGCAGGATTTTGGCTCAGACTTCCCATTCACAAAGATACACTCCATGCAGGAGAGAGTAAAACGTCAGAGGGAAAGTAGCTCGACAGTGCATACAACCCTCAGAAATCATACAGTCCTTGAAAATTGTGGTAGTTCGGGTATCCCTCCCAAAAGGGCCAGTTTCTGCTTTTAAATTATCGATATGGGAAAAAACACACAGACCAATAAAGAGATTCTTGTATCTTAACTCAAAATTTCCTATAAGCACAGTAAATGTAGTTATATTGCCCCCCAGGTCAAATGCAGTCTTAGACTTTACACTCCTACTTCCTATCTTCTCTAATTTTTATCCTGCATCCAATGAAAACTAAATTCTAAAACTACATTGGATGTATTTGTTCACATTTCTGAATACAGACGGTGTAAGGAAAAAGTGCAGGAACGTATATTTAAACTGTCCACCAAGACTGTTAAGTGCTAAATCAGATTTTATGAAAATTCAGCTACTGCAAAGGTCAGAAAGGGAAACGAAGGCCTTAGCCTTCTATTTACATGACAGCAGAGTACACTCAGTTCACCCGACAATCCCATTTACTCCAGCTTAATAAGTAAAAAATATTGATCTGCAAAAATGAAATGCAGATCTTAAACATAAATAATTTGTGTTGCAATGGCTGCTTTAGATTATTGATAGCATTGATTCAGGTCATTCCATAGACAGTACACACAACGCGTGCACTCAAAAATACGAAGGAATTAGGAAAACTACAACTAAAACATGGAACATGTATTATTTATGCGTGAATGAAACCAGTGTAAGTGAAAGGGACTCACTTTTTGCTCGTTTCTCTCATTAAGTTGCCGTACATTGTAAAATGCTGACGGCCGTAGACGGCCGTGGAGAGGGCAGCGTACAGTTCTTGGAGGGGAGCCTTGGAGGGAACGTCCTTGGTCCTCTCCCCCAGCCTGGCCAGGACAGCTGCTGCCACTTTGCCACAGGCCTCCACAAAGTTGGCTCTGATTTCCTGAAGAGAGTCGTCCCTGCAGGCCAGAGCCAAGGGAAGCAGCGTGTCCAGTTCCTCCATGATGTCAGAACAAAACTGAGGGAAATAAAGGTGGCATCCAGTTATTTGTATTCTGACACCACTGTGTAATTTATATGCACTAGGGTTGGACTGTTGAATAATGAAATTGGCATAAAACATAAATATATTAAATAACCTTTACAAACATTTCATTCTGTTATACAGGGGAGAAACATTTATCTACAGTAAATGAATTATTATTTTATTCCTTCTCACTTTAAAGCTGTTTAATACATATTGGGGCAAAAAATATTAAAACCATCTTATGCTACTAACACCTCCATTTTGTTTATGATTTCATTAGATGTACATTCAAAGCACAAGGTTAATTCCTTGTAAACAAAGACAATCGTCTAAACTGATTTATTTTGAAAAATATACAAACACATTTCTTAATACTTGAATTTGAAAACGAATTTTTCATCTCAGTAAATTCATACATCGATCTCCCTAAAATTATCTCCCAAAAGCTTATGTGTTACTTTAAGGAAACATTCATCAACAGCATTCCAAATTTCCTAGAACAGTTGCAAAGCTTACTAAACAAAAAAACTTTCAAACACGTATTCACTTAGGAAAACAATTTAATTAATCACCATAAATGAACTTTCAGCCAAATCAAAGAACTCTAATTTGGCCATATTATTGGTTATGCTGATTAGTTAAATGGCATGTCTAAGGATATGAATACAGGAAATCCCTTTATAGCTATGCTTCAAAGCTTTCAGCATTTTCCCATCGAGCTACTTGGTAACAGAGCAGATACTAATCAGAATGTTTTAGAACTTTTTGGATGAAAAAAACCTAACGCCAGCAAACTTTAAAAGTTAATTCTTTCAAGTGCAGACTATGGGCTATTGTATAAAGCTCTGTTCAGCCTCATATTGTAATGCCTCTCACTTTCTTCTTAATTCCATTTATATAAGATATAGAATATTAATGGTACTGTAAGTACTTCAAAGTCTAGATGGCAAACAGCCCTGGCATTCTGTCTCCCCTCAAACTTCAGATCTTTTGATACCTGCCTTAGCAATTCGTTTTGGTTGCTCCTCCTGTTGGACTGCTCCGCAGGACTCCCTCATTTGCTGGTTGTTTACAAGACTCATTGCATAGCCTGCAGCTGAAACCTCTTCTTTCTGCTCATGTTGAAGAATCTTAGTTGAAAAATCCTCTATTGCTATTGTTATACAGTGAGCCACAGAAGACGACAGGTCTTTAAATGCATTTCTCCAGCCAAAATTCAGTAAAACGGGCTGAAATACATATTTACATTAAATCAATCCAAAGTCATTATTCAGTGTTATTATTGTCTGAAACTTATACGAACACTCGTAATTAAAGGACACCATAATCTTCCAAAATTAATTTTAATAATTTAAAATATAGGCTGCTAATCTTGAAGTCATATTAAAGGCAGTATATATACTCAACAAAAATGAACATACACAAGAATATTAAATTTGTCATCAAATTTTTAAGGAATAAATTTATAAAAATCCCTGTTTAAACAAGACTGTATTTAAAAGCCATGCTTCATCTCTACGTTATTTATAATCTTTAACGGACTCTATTTAACAAAGTTAAATACATCTATAACCAATAGTTTAACAAGCAATCCAGCAATGGACACCCTGTAATAATTTTCACTGCAAGGTAACAACTGCAAGCCACTAACCATGAATATTACTGGAAAACATTTAGAGCAGCTGGTTTTAACACACCCATGCAGGCTTTCACTTCTCCAAAGATGGATTTAGCAAAGATTAAAATGTTTAAACAGAGATTTCTCGTTTTTAGCCAATGTTGGCTTTTCCATCAGTTTACATCAGTCCCCTGCCTTCTATAAACAGAGATTTCTGAAGTTATCTGAAGCATAACACTTGGGAGAAGTAGACACAGTAGGACATTCATTACTTTTCCACTAATCTCGCTTTGCATCGCTCATAGGACATACAACAGGCTTAAACCCTACCAGAAGTGGCCAACTGAGAATTGCATAGCTGTAAGAGAAAGATTTTAATGGCGCAAGCTGTAAAGATCCCCACTATGAGTAGGAGGAAAGAAAAGGAGGATTCCTAGCAAGTTGCAGCTATAATACAAAATTGGAAGACAATGAAGGGCTAAGGAAGTGGAGCCCTTTCAGTTTACTCCAATTTAGAAGTTGCTTCCTCCTTTTCTTCCCCTTCCCTTTCCCCTCCCCAACGCTCAACTCCAGCCCCCAAAGACACCCTTTTTTGCACTCCCTCTGTTTTTTTTCTTTTTCATTTTTTTGATCTTGGGTCAAGTAAAGGTCAATCTGATCAAAATATTGTTCGTTGTGATATAGGAACATCAGTCTAACAAACTGATACAAAGCACATTTTTAAAAGTCATTTCACCATTAAAACAGAGCCATCAGGAAATGAAATTCCACTATTGCCAAGTATCAGGCTTGTTAGAGTATTTAGGCCCCACAAATTCTACAATAAAAATTTGTTCAGCAGTAAATGGAAGCCAGACTAAAACTTCACCTCTTACATAAATTGTACAAAGCACCCTGCTTACTACACAGTAGTTTGTTGGCATCAAAGAAACAGGACATTGTGTGAGTACTTATCCCTATAGGAAGCATCATTATGATCAAATGCTAAGAACTTGATACATTTTTTAAAGATTCTGCTGTATTTTAGCATACATCTAAAACTGAAAAAATCTACCATATTTTTAATTGTTTTGTTACAGGGTATCTTATACTTCTGATGTTAAATCCATTCTGTTATTGAATCTTAAATAACAACCACTTCATGAATGCCCTAAGACTTTATTCCACCTTAACTTAGACTTTGCACCTCAAATTAATTGGAGTAGCTAAATAATGAAACGATGGCAATAGGTGTTTATAATGAACATGGTGGCAGACTTCACTGGAGACACAGACAAAAGAAAATCCCCTACAAAGTGCAAGACTCTTTTCATACTCACCTCTTCTACCTGAAGTAACTGTTCAGGAAGCACACTGGTTTCATTTGCTCTAGTTTCTCCTATTAAAAGCTCCCCACTAGCTTTCTTCAGAACTCCTGCACAGTATGATAAAAGGGATCAAAGTTAAGATTAATTCTGTAGAAAAGTCAGCAGCCTACAACACCTTCTGATATATCAATATGAAGCGTAAAAAAACCCTCAACAAGATGTAGGGGAATACTAATGTTATGATAAAGTCAAATTCAGGTTATACACAGCTACTTTTATATAACATGATGAAATCCACATCCCATTGTATTCATATTTTATACAAACGCACATATAATCTGTAAAATATAGTTTCTTTTGTCATTAATTCATTTTTATACTGATTGTGCAGTCACCTATTCCTAGGGAGAACAGATAATGTTAGAACAGCTGCGTAGAAATTAATTTCTATTCTTTGTTCAATAAATTATATGAATTGCACACTAATGTATTTTTATAGTTTTTACTTATTTGGAAACGCCAATATGATAAGAATAAAAAGACAGTTAATTAGTACCGTTATTATAAGCAAAATAATGGCGACAGGAACAAGAACAAGTGAAGCTCCTTAAGAAGGGCTGGGACAAAACTCACTCATAAATCTTGGAGTAATGGGAACATTGCCCCAGTTTTGACAAGGACACACCAATATCTGGGTCGATATCACTTTCATCAGCGTTTCAAGCAATCCAGGATGTTCTTGGGAGTGCACTGATGGTAACTTGCTCCTCCAAGTGATACAGGAGCCAGCGAGGAGAGGTGTTGTGCTGAACCTTGTTCTCACCAAGAAGGGGGGCTGGTGGAGAATGTGAAAGTCAAAGGCAGCTTCGGCTGCAGTGACCATGAGATGGTGGACTTCAGGATCCCAAAGGCAGGGAGGACGGTGAAAAGCAACCTTACAACCCTGGACCTCAGGAGAGCAGACTTTGGCCTCTTCAAAGATTGATTTGGAAGAGTCCCCTGGGATAAGATCTTTGATGGAAATGGGGCCCAAGAAAGCTGGTTAATATTCAAGGATAATCTCCTCCAAGCTCAAGAGAACTGGGAAAAAAATGCCAGGAGGCCTGCACGGATGAACAAGGAGCTCCTAGCCAGACTGAAACACAATGAAGCCTACGGAGGGTGAAAGCAAGGATGGGCAACCTGGAAGTAACACAAAAACACTGCCTGAGCATCCAGGGACAAAGTTATGAAAGCTAAAGCTCAAATGCAACTAAATCCCACCAGAAACATCAAAGACAAGAAGGGCTTCTGTAAGAACACAGGTGAAAAGTGGAAGATTAGGGAAAATGTGGGCCCATTGCTTAATGAGACTGGGGACCTGGCTACACAGACATGCAAAAGGCTGAGGTAGTGAATGCCAGGAGGCCTGCACGGATGAACAAGGAGCTCCTAGCCAGACTGAAACACAATGAAGCCTACGGAGGGTGAAAGCAAGGATGGGCAACCTGGAAGTAACACAAAAACACTGTCTGAGCATCTAGGGACAAAGTTATGAAAGCTAAAGCTCAAATGCAACTAAATCCCACCAGAAACATCAAAGACAAGAAGGGCTTCTGTAAGAACACAGGTGAAAAGTGGAAGATTAGGGAAAATGTGGGCCCATTGCTTAATGAGACTGGGGACCTGGCTACACAGACATGCAAAAGGCTGAGGTAGTGAATGCCATCTTTGCCTCTGTCTCTGCTAGCAAGACCAGCCTTCAGGAATCCCAGGTCCCAGGCAGTATGGCTGGAGCAAGGAAGATGGTGGAAGAGGATCAGGTCTGGAAATGCTTAAGCAACCTGGACATACCGAATTACCTGGGCCTGCTGGGATGCACCACAAGTGCTAAGGGAGCTGGCAGTTGTCATTACAAGGCCACTCTCAACAACCTTTGATCAAACATGGCAACTGGGAGAGTGTCCAAATTGTGGAGAAAAGCAAATGTCAGTCCTATCTCCAAAAAGGGCAAGAAGAAGGACCCAGGGAATCACGGGTCAGTCAACCTCACCTCAATCCCTGGGAATTGGATTGGAACAGCTAATCCTGGAAAGCATTTTGAGGCACATTACAGACAAAATATTCATCAGGAGTACTCAGCATGGCTTCATGAAGAGGCAGTCATGCTTGACCAACTTCATAAACTTCTGTGAAGAAATGACTGGCCTGATAGATAAGGGGAGAGCAGTGGATATTGTCTACTTGGACTTCAGTAAGGCCTTTGGCACTGTCTCCCATCAGATGCTGTTATGCTGTAGACAATCTCTTGATGTATGGGATGGATAAGCAGACAGTGAGGCGGGTGGAAAACTGGCTGAATAGCCAAGCCCAGAGTGTGGTGATCAGTGTCACAAAGTCTAGTTGGAGTCTACTGGCCTACTGGAGGCCAATAACTAGTGATATATCTTGCAGTCAGTACTGGTCCAGTGCTGTTTAACATCTTCATTAATGATCTGGATGATGGGGCAGAGTCTACTCTCAGCAAGCTTGCAGATGACACCAAAGTGGGAGGTATGGCTGATATACCCAAGAGGGTCACGGAACAGCTAATCCTGGAAAGCATTTTGAGGCACATTACAGACAAAATATTCATCAGGAGTACTCAGCATGGCTTCATGAAGAGGCAGTCATGCTTGACCAACTTCATAAACTTCTGTGAAGAAATGACTGGCCTGATAGATAAGGGGAGAGCAGTGGATATTGTCTACTTGGACTTCAGTAAGGCCTTTGGCACTGTCTCCCATCAGATGCTGTTATGCTGTAGACAATCTCTTGATGTATGGGATGGATAAGCAGACAGTGAGGCGGGTGGAAAACTGGCTGAATAGCCAAGCCCAGAGTGTGGTGATCAGTGTCACAAAGTCTAGTTGGAGTCTACTGGCCTACTGGAGGCCAATAACTAGTGATATATCTTGCAGTCAGTACTGGTCCAGTGGAGCAGTGGATATTGTCTACTTGGACTTCAGTAAGGCCTTTGGCACTGTCTCCCATCAGATGCTGTTATGCTGTAGACAATCTCTTGATGTATGGGATGGATAAGCAGACAGTGAGGCGGGTGGAAAACTGGCTGAATAGCCAAGCCCAGAGTGTGGTGATCAGTGTCACAAAGTCTAGTTGGAGTCTACTGGCCTACTGGAGGCCAATAACTAGTGATATATCTTGCAGTCAGTACTGGTCCAGTGCTGTTTAACATCTTCATTAATGATCTGGATGATGGGGCAGAGTCTACTCTCAGCAAGCTTGCAGATGACACCAAAGTGGGAGGTATGGCTGATATACCCAAGAGGGTCACGCTGCCATTCAGAGGGACCTCAACAGGCTGAAGAAATGGGCCCACAAAAGTCCAGCAAGGAGAAGTGTGAAGTCCTGCACCTGAGGAGGAACAACCCCAGGCACTAATATATGCTGGTGGCCACCAATCTGGAAAGCAGCTTTGCAGAAGGACCTGGGGGTCCGGGTGGACACCAAGTTGAACATGAGCCAGCAACATGCCCTTGCTGCAAAGAAGACTGGTTTGCATTAGACAATGCATTGTAGCAGATCAAGGGAGGTGATCCTTCCTATCTGCTCAGCACTGGTGAGGCCACACCTGGAGTTTTGTGTCCAGTTCAGGGCTACTCAGTGCAAGAGAGACATGGACATACTGGAGGGTGTCCAACAAAGAGCCATGAAGGTGATTAGGGGACTGGAGCATTTTATATATTAGAAAAGGCTGAGAGTACTGCAATGTTTAGCCTAGAGAAGAAAAGAAGGATCGGGGGGGGGCACCTTATTAGTGTCTATAAATACCTGAAGGGAGGGTGCAAAGAGACAGAACCAGGCTCTTCTCAGTGGTGCCCAGTGACAAAACAAGACGCAATGGGCACAGACAGAAACACAGAAGGTTCCCCCTGAACATCAGGCAATACTTTTGTCCTGTGAGGGTGACCAAGCTCTGGATAAGATTGTACAGAGAGGCTGTGGAGTCTCCATCCTTGGGAGATACTCAAAACCCACCTGGACAAGGTCCTGGGCAACTGGCTCTACATGCTTAAGCAGGGGTTGTTGGACCAGACGCCTCCAAAAGCCCCTTCTGATCTCAACCATTCCATGATTATGTGAGTCAGTGTTTCAAAAGGAATATGAGAAAAAAAAACAAACAATATGGTACTTTAAAAATCTGTCTCCTAGCATAAAGCTGGTACGCACCACAAGTACAGACACATTGCATCTCATGTGAAATTAAAACCAAGAAGTTTTAAATTACTGGATGCTGTCAAGCATTGTTAAAGGTTATCTTCAAAGCATAAACTTACAGGTCTTCAGTCACCTGAAGCTACAGGTGGTACCCACAGCCAAGGTTTAAAGAGGTTTTCTCTTTCTATATACCCAGTGTTTCCACACACATAGGACTTCATTTACCCAAAGTGGATTTTATCTTTCCCCTAAACAAAACACCCTGTGAAAACAAACACTCTGCTCTTCATACACCTATACAGGATTCTAAAATGTCAAGTTTTTTTGAGATTTTTTTTTCCCCAAGCACTCTTTTAGTTTGCAGTTTCAAAAGAAGTCAGAGAAAAACAGATTTGAGCTGGGAAAAATGAAAGATAAAGTGGTAGAACATAAAAACAGAAGTGATTAACCAGGTCATCTAGCTCCCTGATTGTTCAACATATATTACGGAGAGCACCATAAACTTACTGCTTTTTTCATAATGTTTTTATGCATTTTTTGATGACGTTTTCTACAGTTTTCTTTAGAAATTACATTATATATTCACGTTCTCTTTTGTCTTTATTGTCACTACCTAGATCAGCTACTCATAACTACCAAGACTTCAAAGAAAATCTTTAACATTTAACCTAAAATCCTTGTGTATTTGTGGAATTGCTGCCTTACTTGCTGAGAACTCACACCTGAGATAAACAGGTATCTACTCGTGGTAGATTTATGTCTCCAGGACCAGAGGTGAAGAGCCAAATGATGCTTTTGCCAGCATCAATCATTGAAATGTTTATTCATTTTGAAATTAACAGTTTCTACTAGACCTCCCCACCTCCTTTTCCAACTAACAGTCTGGGCACTCTTGCCCTATATTCACATA